CATTAAAACATTTTTTTGTCAAACCTACATGAAAGATCTACATGATGATAATAATGGTATCAATTTGGTAGAAACCTTAATTGTCTTAAGTTGTAATTTTTATATTTCCTTTCTTTTTTTTAACGACAATCTTTTTCCATTCCTCTAACTTCGTTATAACGAATAATAGCGGAGTGTAAGATGAATGAATTGGTAGAGAAAAAAATAGAAAACAGTAAGGGCCCAAAAGTGAAAAGGCCGAACCACTTGTAATTCATTTTTTTTTTTTTTTGCTTTGCTGGGACTAGAAATGGTATTACCAAAAAAGAAAAAACAAAGTAGGGAAAGTATTTTCTCTCTTCACTTATCTCTAAGCTAATTCTCATCAATTGACTGATATAGAGTTATGGTACAAAGGGCTTATTTGTTACATTACATGATACGGCCAAAAAGTCAATTAAACAGTTAAATGAAATCATTCCAACCGTTTATTTACAAATTGAGATTCATAAATAGGGGAAAAGAAGAAGAAAGATGTTAGATAAATTATGTCAGTTCTTTTCCCTAAATCAATAGACAAAAGAAAAACTCTTTCTTGTGGTAAAAACTCTTTCTTGTGGTATCAACGGAAAAGTGTATTACCAGCGGAAATACTGCAACATGTTTATGCTAATTGTCATAAACAAAGGTGTAAAATGTGAAGTGAAAACGAAAAAGAAATATAAACCTGGGAAGATTGCACGTGTGAGGTTGCCACCTCCAGAATTTGTAGCTCGAGTCTTTTCTCTCAAACTTTTCACAAGCCAGCTGATCAGACATGAACTTGCACTCTTCTTCTTTATAAATAGGGCTTGACTCATTATCAAATACCCATTTCCCTTCGAACAAATTACAGTCTCTGCTGTCTTCCACGTTTGGAACACTGTCGCTTTGAGGATGTTCCTTTGGTAAAACGTTTCGGGGCAAAAACACGGCAGTGAATATTACTCCGGCCACAAGTACGGCGGAGAGAGTGTGAAAACTCGCCCTGATTCCCAGCATAAGCAGTTGTTGCTTTGCCATTGGTTCTGTGATGTTAATGTTATTGTTATTGCTATGATGTTTTGTTTTTAGGTTATATTGACGTGTCCATCTCTAACTTGCCTTTGAAATTCAGCCTTCTTGAAGTGTTTTTATAGTTTGGTAGCCAATCAAATTTAGTTGCTGTAAGTTATGCCTATATATATCTGGATGATTTTCTTGGTATAGTTCTTAAATTTGTGTTGATAGTTTCTCAAGCAATGCCCACTTGCGAGAAAATCAATATTTATTTTACTTGATTAAAGTGGGGAAATTTATTTCCTAACTCTCTAAGACAAATTTGAAGGCTTAATTAAAGTGGGGTTGAGATTTAACTTTACATACTTATTGTGCTTTATTCTGTGAATCACACGTAGGAAACTAATGTTATGCAACATTACTTTACCTAAAATAGAACGAGATTTATTGGCCACAAGGCCAATGCGTTGCTAATTCTAGTAAAATTTTAATTTTAGACTAACTAAAGTAGTGTTTATTTTATCTAGGATTTGCTAGCGAATAAACGATCCTTATAGAAAAAGATGGAGAGAACTTTTGTATTGTAGCCCGTCTGTTTCATGTCACGACTCAAGTATTCTTTTGACTTCTCTCAGGGGTCGCACCTGTCCGTAGTCCAACCAGCGTTTTGTGATTGTTCCTATTGTCGTTTTCAATTAAGTCATGAATATCTTTCACATTATATAATGATTGGTCAACGAGTTTCATAAATAGTTTTTGGATAGAGCATTTGATCGAGTATAATTGGTGGGTCAAACAAGAATAAGCTGTTAGATTTTGATTATCTTAAAGAGATGGTACTTCATTTTTGTTATAGTTTTTATCTGCCTTGGTTTTTAAGTGATCGATAAATAGATTAAAGAGACTACCTCTTGGCTTTTTTTTGACTAAAGGCTTAAATAAATAGATTATTCTATATAACTATTTCTATATCTATTATTATTTTTTGGACATCATTTCTATATTTATTTTATAATAAAATTTAAAATCAAATTTACTATAATCTCTATATTTTCTCATATAAACTAGAAATTTGTGACAAAATAAACACTAGAAATTTATATTTTCCTCTATATATAGGAACAAATAGTATTCCTCAAATCATATCTGTATATAAGAAATTACTATTTTTTTTAAATGCATTAGAGTATATGTTATTTCTATTATTATATAATTGTTCTATTTAACCGCGAAACGTGTGCCAAAAGAGACATTATGGTATTTCTATACGACAGTTTGGTCTACTTCTGCTTTTTTTTTCATAATCCAAGAATATAGTTAGAGATGGCCAAATCTTATACAATATGTAAAAGGTAAGGTTAAGTTGTTGACGTTGCATTCGTAATACTCGTTGTCTTCAAGTTACCTCAAGATCCAATCCATTATATGCATATATGAACATACGCTCCTAGCACAAACATGAGCTACTCATCAAAATATATGAAAATACATCTCAAACAAATACTAATTGTGATTCATACTAAATTAAAAAAAAAACTAGTTTCTGAGAATAACTTATGCGGCTGTAGACCTTTTTCTTTTCCTGGATGCTTTAAAGTAGTTTCTCAAAAAGAAATATATTATGAAAAATGCTCTACTTAATACATATAAAGTAATGACTGGTTTACAAATAAATATCTGGCTTCTGCTTATATGTAAACAAACTTACTTCCAAATATAGATGGAAGGATTTTTTTTTACTTCAAAAAATGTGGAAGGATGACTCATTTAGAAACTAAGAGAATCCTTAATTCATATATATTTATTTATTTTTATAATGACATCTAAAACAATTCTAACCCTTTTTATATTTTTCATATTTTCATTTAAAATAAAAGATATCTATTACATAGGTGAATTTGCTCTAATGTATGCATATATAAATACAATAGAGTTTCTATATTTTTAGGAATATATATATATATATATATATATATATATATATATATAAATACTAATTTTTAACTCTAAATATAGAGGCGAAATAGCATTTCAATAGTTTCTTTTAAATAGAATATATTTCTTTTTTGAAAAAATATTAAAAAAACTTACATATATTTTTTTGGGAAAGGGCTGTAAATTACAGATAGTGCTAGAAACAAATATACTCCACACATCTCTATTCCTTCTTATAAAATAGAAATTAAAAATTTTCTCTACAAACATAGAAAGAAGTAGCATTTTAAATTTGATTCTAATTATAGAAAAAAGAATATTTTAGAAGATACATTTAGAGTAAACTTCATTTTCATCAGAGATTTATTATGTACTCTATTTTAGAACAAAATAGCAAAATATATTGAAGACAGTCTAACAAACAAAATTAATCTAATATTTTCTGCTACGAATAATCTTGAAATTTGGATTAAAAGTCATCAAAATTCCTTAGGACAATTTACATAATGTTTAGAGCTAAAATAAAAAGGGAATTAAGTGCAAATGATCAATCCACCTTAAAATAGTGTCAAGGCCATACGTCCATATTGGTGTCTCAATTTAACAATATCACCCAAATTAGTGACACTTGAGAGATAACCCTAAAATAAATCTACAGTTTGATTCCTATTGGCCATTAATAGATTTACAAATGTCTATATCGCTGGAACTCACAAATTACTCGGTTGATTTCGATCACACGAACTTTGTCTTTAATTAAAAAAATGCTGGAAAGTACTGATTTTTTTTTTTGCAACTTGTTAATTATATTCTTTTAAAAAAAGAAGTTAGTTATATTCCTTCGATAAACCCTTCTCAATTATTCATTATTCGTATTCGATTCCCTTTTTGTTACGTGTTTTCCTTCTCTTGAGCGATCGGAAACTTGGGGAGAGGTCCAATGAAAGTAGCGGAAACGGTGGCGTGAAGGATCTCAAAAGCACAATTTATTTATTTATAAAAAACTCAATTTGCAGATCACAGTTAATATGTTTTGCCCAACTTGCAACACATTGCAGCTACCCCACTCCCACTTGCACTGCCAACTCTCTCCCATTCATTTTATATTTACACCTTTCGCGGCCGCATTGAGTATATATCTTATGTTAGTAAGCTATTCTATATTTGTTAATATTCGACGACCACAAGGAACTGTAAATGAAAGTATTCAACCACATTTGCAACAATGTATTCATAACGGGGCTTTGCAGTGACGTATTCGTTTCGGTTTTTGATTGTGTTGTTTACATATTCAACTTTAATATAACTAACAAATCTCAAACTAAAGTTTAAACTTCCTTTTCTCAAAAAAAGAAAGAAAGTTTGAACTGGCTTTTGAAATATGTAAAATACGAATATTTTTAAATATATGAATACGTTGAGAAAATATAAACCATATCATATGATTTTTAAAGCTGTATAACTTATATTACGTACTGGTGAGCTTTGTAATATTGTATTTACAGATATGCATAAATACAACAATTCGAAGTTTGTAAACTTTGTGGATAGAAATGTAAGACTTAAAGTTTAAGAACCACTTGAGAATATAAAACAAATGAAATCAGTTTTAAGTATTTATATTCTTAGAGATCACTTGGAAGTTGGAACCCCAGCGAAACATATCGTGACTCTCGTGATGGAACAGGACATGCAACTTGCTCTCTTCTCTATTCTAGAATGTTATTTTATAATTATAAATTTAATATTGTATTATTCAATTGTGAAGAAGCATAAAGAAAGGAGGTGAAAATAAACAATTTGCAACTTTATTTTACAAAAAAAAACAATTTGCAACTTGCATTCCTTTTTATTAGGTGGAAAAGAAGAGCAGCTTGGCTTTGTGTGGTTATCACATTCAACTCATTGTCCACTTGCAGTTTTTTAGTTCATCACCATTTTCAGAACATATTTTATTTCATCAACAAGTTCATTTTTAATATAAAAAGTGTGCATGTATTTTAACTATGTTCAATTTTAATTTTTACCCTTGAACTGTAAGCCTAAACGGACGCAACCAATTTCTCATATAATTAGTTTTCATTATCTGTGGGTGGTGAAAGCCGGAATAGGGTTATCAGAATCGGTTCTTTATGGATATAAAATACAAAACATAAGATTATGATGCACCAGAGATTAACTTACTAATGTATTCTCTTTTTTCACACGATAAGCCGGAAAAACATAGATCACACGACGGCTTAAAAACATCAAAACAACGTCGGATCAAAACGAAACTATTCAGACAATAAAACACTCATTACATGGACGTCTTCTTCTTCTTCCCTTCCACCACAGAACTCTCAGCTATTTTAGCAAGAGACTGAAGATTGCAACGTACAATAACATCAACAAAGTCGCAAGTCTCTTCCTTAGTGTTCCCCGGAGGCACATCAACGACGTAAGACTCAACAACAACGGTCCCGGAGATAGGAGAAGAGTGAAGAGTCGTGACCGACCGGTAGTTAGATAACCGGTGGTCCCCACCAACGACGCTGAAACTAATGATATGACGCTCGTCATCGAGAATATCGAGACGTTCGGTGGAGCTCGCGGCGGGAAGGCCGGAAACGACGTGGACTTGACGGAGGCTACCAACGTTTCCACCGTCTCCGCCTATGACGTCGCAGCTTTTGAGGAAGTGTTTGTAAGCTTGCGGGTTGTCGAAGCGTCGGACGACGGACCAAACTGTGGAGATAGGTGCGGAGATCTCTTGGATGACGGCGGAGCAACACTGGTTAGGACCAACCTCGTGGGTATGGAAACTAGCGGCGGTTGTGTCGCGTGAGAGAGAAGGGAAACGTTTTTGGAAAGAAGCGATCATATTGGGAACCTGGACGGAGTCTCCGTTGGATACAGCGGAGGAAGGACGGTGAACGGCGAGCATGTTGATCTTGAGGTACGTGATAACGTTCTTGTGTTTATAAAATCTTGATATAGGTCGCGGTCTTTGATATCTTTCTTTAGGGTTAAGAGAAAGTGGAGGTTTTGAAGAGAGAGAGGTGTTAAAGGGAGGAGAAGATGTGTGTATATAAAAAAGGAGCAAAGATCAACTTTACAGCGACTTGCGAGAAAAGTTGGGTTGTGTCTTTAGATTTGAGAGAGACAATTTTTAATGCAGAGTTCATGTGAGTGGTGATAATGAAAACAAAACCAGCAAGTTGGTCTTCTCTAATTTACGTATTTGCCCCTGGCTGGTTTTGTTGACTTGAATGTTTGGTACGTTAGATTAAATAGGCAAGTAACCAAAATTCGCTTTTTTTTTCTTATGAATATTAATAGGGTCTAAATCCAAAGTTGGACAAGGCCAAGACAGACTACAATAAGGGCAAGAGAACAGACCAAACCATACGTTAAATCCACATTGGTGAACCCCCCATGGAGTTCACCAAAAAAAAAAAATTTGTTTTTTTAATTTTTTTTTTGTTTTCTAAAAAAAAAAAAAAAAAAAAATTCGGACAAATGGGGTGCCGCCACGTAGCGAACCCCATGTGAACTAGGTTCACTACCATGAACCTTTTGGAGAGAGGTTCACCCAAATAATATTATTTTATTTATTTTTTCTTGGGAAAGGGGTGAACCTCCCTTATGAAACTCTAATGGAGATGCTCTTAGGCCATAAGCGTAAAGAGGAGAATGAAATATCCACTCGAACAACAAAGCCCCACGGAAGAAGATGACTACCAAAGGGCAACCCAAACACGTGTAGAACCCCTATTCCAGAAACGACACGTGTTAATCGAAAGTGGCACACCTCTTCATCAATTTGAAGGTCTTCGCTGGAAAATTAGCCGGAACTCCACTAAAACACGAAGAAGCTCGAAGATGATAACCAGTTCAAAGGAGAAGAGGAACGAGCAACCAGAAAAAAACTGCTCGTCAATTAAATTAAAACGGAGAACATGCGAAGATCAACCAAACCGCGAAATCGTAGAATCAAAAGCCAGCAGTCATCGGTGGGGAAAATGCACCGCCAGAGGCTCTGGCCCAGAGCCAAAAGCCGGATATCTCCGCCAAGGAGAGTGCGAGCCACCAGATTCAGAAGCCAACTATAAGACGACAAGGAGATCGCTATACTAATATACCGGAGGAGGTTATCTGTTAGAAAAGGAACGACGAAAAAAAAACAGATTCTTTATCTAAAAGCTTTTAGAGAGATAAAAGAGGTCTTCCAGGTTTCTGTGCGGTGGCTGTGGGGATTGATGGTAGGATCCCGTCGCCGGTAATCTGGGTCTCGTTCTGTTTTGAAATCTCCTGTTCATACCTTCTCTCGTGATGTTGAGTTTAATGAATTTTCTTCTCTTTAGTATATGGCTGTTTGAGGTTTTTCTGATTGACTGGAGAGTTTTGATAGAGACTGAGTTATGTAATCATCTTATGGTTAGCTTGGATTGCCTCTTTGTATTCAAATCATTTTTCTAGTGCATGCTGCATGCTCTACTGGCTTTGATGTGGGTGTGTAATTCTTTTATCGAATCTGGTCAGGCGATTCTCAAGACTCAGTGGTGTTGTTTCAAGCTTCTCTCATTCTCTGTTCCATGTTTGGTGTGTTAAGGTGAAAGGGATTTAAGAGGTTTATGGCGTTCTGAGAGCTTGTTTGGTTTGGCGACTTTTTTAGATGGAAAAGTATCTCAAACCATCGTTTGAATTCTATCTGAGATGGTCTTGGGTTGTCAATTCTTCTTTGTGGCGTCTGGCAGCTGTTGCATGTGATCTCTGATAAGGTCTTGTCGCTCTTCCTTGGTGTTTTATTGTTGATTTCATTTGGTAAAGTTACGAAGTGGGGAAGTTGTGTTCTCCCTTGGTTTGCAACCTACGGGTTTCGCCGAAATTTTTGGTAAGGGGTTTTGGAGCTTTTGCTCAATTGCGGCGGTTTTGGAGTAATTGATCGCCAAACGTATATGTGTCATCGTTGGCTGCTCGGTTTGAACGTTTTTTCTCTCCTAGTTTCTTTGTGTTGAATGGTAAGTGTATTGGTTACAAATGGTTCCTAGTAGAAACTAGTTTGAAAGATCTCATTTCAACTCCAAAAATGTAGTTTTTCTTCCCTTTTCCGATCAATCCATCTTCCGGTTTCGTTCAACTTTGTCTTTTTTGAAGTATATCCTTGTTCTTCAATATGTTTGTCACACATTCTCTCTCTCCCCTTTGTTTTCATAAGTTCTGGAGTGATGTTTAGTTTCAACCTTTGTCTCTGGTGGTAACTTGAACCACGTCGGCTTATGGTTCCGAAAAGGTATTATATCTTTGCCGGCTTTGTGTAATAACTGATGTAATTCTAATAATAATTTAATAGATGAAAAAAATGAAAGAAGGTTTTAATAGTGACCATAATTCTCGTGTACTAAAGACAATATTTTAAAATTCAGGTATAAGTACCAAGGGTTTTTGTTGTAAAACATATTTAGCACATAATTTTCAACATTTTGATAACCAACAAAAATCTGGACCAAACTGTTTTGAAACATGATACAATCTGTTTTACAGGTTTAAAGACAATATCTTAAAATTCAGGTACAAGTACCAAGGGTTTTTGTTGTAAAACATATTTAGCACATAATTTTCAACATTTTGATAACCAACAAAAATCTGGACCAAACTGTTTTGAAACATGATACAATCTGTTTTACAGGTTTAATGAATATACCCACATCCATTTAAACCGGGTTTTTTTTTTGGGTATACATATCAATTGATCTCAGAGGGATTTAGAATCAAAGCCTGTTGAATATCAACATATATTTTTCCAAATGAAAAGTATTTGTTATAAAATTTTAGTTTAATAAAATATTCTGGTGGTATTAACAGATACGAGGTGAACATTCATACCTTCTTAACATTGTGATTTTTTGTTTACTATTTTGAATTAGGATATATCTATACGCATCTCACCATATCTATATAGTTAAATATCATCATAACATCAGTTTTATATAAATATAACATTTTATTTGTTGTTTTAGTATTAAACTTTATTTTCGTTCTCCAACCACAAAGGTAAATTTCACACTAAAATAATATATATACAAATATATATATATATATATATATATATATATATATATGTAAATTCTGTTAATTAATCTTTTTAATTTTTTTAAATGGAATAATTTTTATTTCGTCACATTTAGATTTTATAGTTGTTTGTTAAATTTTTTTAATTGTATGTTTTTAGTATCTATATAAAATTTGTATTTTAAGCTAATTTTTATATTAAATGATTTGATGAAAATACTATTTATAATTAATATATAAAATTATAAATATGAAAAGTACATAACAAAATGATAAATTTATTTTTAGTAACATTTTTGCATTTTGTAATAGTAGTTTTACCTATACTATTAAATTTTGAATAAATATACTATTATCTTAGTGTTTAATGTAAAAAATATTATTTATTTAATTTGGTTATAGATTAGATATACTTAATAATATTAATTTAATTATATTATAAAATAAAACATATTTAAATATACAATTTTAATTTGACGTGATATGGTGTAATACTATTCACAATACACAAAATTTGATGAAATGATTATGTCATTTTTGGAGTTCTATTGAAGGTGAAATCACTCTAATTTTAATGTTTTGGAGTTCCATTGGAATTGCTCAAAGTTCAAGAGTGTTCATAACCATATAGATAGAACAAGTGAATGGAATAAGTTTTCTTGAGAAAAATCTTGTATTGATTGGATTATGATATACAAATATGCAGGGTTTTTCTGAGTGTTGGTGTTTTATTGATGTTCCGTGCAAAGTAAATAGGATTTTTCAGGACAAAGTTGGTATAGTACGGTAGAAGGTTTTGACGGATTGATGGGGGTAAAAACATCAAGGCTAGCCTCTCACCTCTTCATCATGAGGTGGAAACGCTAAATTGGGCAACATGTATGAGAAATTTGCGCGAGTTTCAGGTTATTTATGCAACAAATTGTTCTCAACTAGTGAAGACGGTTTCAAAACCAGAAGATTAGGTTTTGTAACTTATTTGGAGGATATTAAGATGCTAAAGAAAATCTTCCTCAGCTCAAAAAACATCTATGTACCAAGAACACAAAATTTACAAGCGAATACTATAACACGCAGTGCTAGGAAACCACCGTCCTTTGTTGTTCATATGAATGCAGAGTTACCGGTGTGGTTTGCAGAATCAGTATGAATCTGTTTATGTTGATGACCAAAAAAAAAATATTATATGCAATTACAAAGCAAATGCCTCTCGTCCATTTTACGTCACGAGAAGGATCTGCATTTATAATTTTTTTTTGTTATCAACATAAACAGATTTATGAAAACTCTGCAAATCAAATTGGTAACTCACATCTATATGGACGATAAACAATGATTGTTTCTGACACTGCATGCAAGACATTCCGTCTCTAAATTCTGTGTTCGAGGTATATAAATAACTCTGAGTTGTGAAAACTTCCTTTCAATAACTTGATGTATTCCGAATAATTTGTAAAGACTAGCAATTCTTCTGATTTTGTAATTTAGCATTTCAAAATAATCATTTACAAATGTTACATTAAATTGACGTAAACTCCATTTTAGATCATGTGATGCACAAAATATGGAGTCTGTCAAAGTGTTTGCTAATTGAAGATGTGGCAAGATCAATTTTTTGCTAATCATATCATGTTTCATCTGGTAAATATGACCACAAATAATGATTTTTTGTTGCTTTGTGCTCAGTTTGTAGAATCTTTTTTTTTTGTGTGGTAAAAAAGCATCTTTTTTTTTGGTAAAAAAACATGGAGAAATAATGTAGGGAAGTACAATTAGTTATAATAAGAATCCAAATGGGAAAATTGGATCAAATGTTGCAGAAAGCAGAGTGTGAATCTAACAGATTTTGTGGCATGAATCAATCGGATCAAACGATTCAAAACATATGTTTGAATGACAAATCTGGATAAAAACTTATTTAAAATACTTTTAAAATAATTTAAATATATTTTCTATTTATTTTCATAATTAATTTAGGCATTTTAATCTGGGAAAATTTGGATAATTACATCATAATGAAATTTTATTTTGACAATTATACTATTATGTAGACTATTGAAAACTACACTTTCTATTAAGGAAATTGACTAAATTATCCTTATTGAATGTTTCTTAAGTAATTATTCTAAAAAGCTTAGATTAACTAACCAAATTGTTCCCTTTGTGGATAGAAGAAAATTAGGATTTAGAATTACTAAAATCA